AAACAATGGGCAACGCGCAAGCCAACAACAAAACTTAACAGTGTTGTTCCATCAAGCGCCGTAAAACATTTGCTCCGCATCGAGCCTTTCAAGCAGAGATGCAACGCAGCCCTCCTCCCCAAACCCCCGAGAAGAAACATATACATTCGGCCGCAAAGTAAACACAGCGCACTCTGCACATGAGTCTCACTTCAAATCCTGGTGTCCCCTGGTGAAAAGAAATCTGGCCTTCGTTCAGCGTTCATATTTCCTGTCATTTTAGGCCCATGATGATTCCTGCCTGCTGCTGATTGACAAGAAGAACTGCGGAGAGCATGTTTTACAACAAAAGTCTGGATTCTGGCATTTTAAAAGCAGGCAGGGTCCACTGGCCAACAGCAACAGTGTGCTCAACGTCTCTGAAGCTTTTCCAGGCAGCCCATCTGTGTCCATGGAGCCCCGAGCACTGGGACCAGGAAACAAGGACTGGCAGGCCTGATTCAGAGTCCTATTAGCCCCAGGAAACAGCCTCTCCAGTGGAAAAGCAAAGCGAGGGAGGTCTGGCACTGGGTTGCTGTTCTGAAGTGTTAAACCCAAAACCAGCTCCCCTCGACTTATCGTCATCAACATCTCCGTTGTATATCAGAAAGTGGCACTCACTTTGCTGCATCAATGGTCACGACAAATGCGTGTTTTTGCTTCTCGTGCAAGTTTTTCTTTCAATGTTAAACCCCTACAAAATCTGAGCAAATACGTGAGTTCAGAACATGATTATTTCCTCATGATAGCAGCACTACCTGGCTCTACACGGCCATACGGGAGCAGTTTGTCTCTGCGTTTTCATATCATCTACACTGATCATCAACTGATAAGCTTGCTGGTGTTTTGCCTGGAGCAGAGTCTCAACTTTAGCTTCAGTCTTTTGGCACAACATATAAGAGAGATAGAAATCCGTAGGGCTGCAATGATTACTTTCATTCTCGATTGATTAGTTGCATAGCGTATAAAATGAAGAAAATGATTGATCAATGTTTCTTAAAGCTCGAGACGACGTCCTCAAATGTCTTGTTTTATCCACGGCCCAAAGATATTCGGTTTACTGTCATAGAGGAGAGATCAAGGAGGTTGGAGTATAGAAGGTTTTTTTGCTTTTAAAAAGTTACTCAACTCTATTACTGATTATCAAGATGTGTGAATATGAATTCTAAACGTCAACCTTGCCAAAAAATTACACCATTTATCCGCGAGAAGAATCATTTACTTGCTGATTTTCTCTTTACACCGAGCAGGAAGACAAGTATGGGAACAAATAAATGTAAGCAGTAAAATATCTACAGCATGTCGAGTCTCAATTTGTTCAGCATCGGCAACACATGTGGGCATCTGGAAAACGTTGAGCACGCTGATTCCAGGTTTTTTGGATTTAAATAAATAATCAAAGAACTTTAACTTTAACGTTTTCTCCCTTTTTTATGTTTATAACTGTGTCATACAGCACTGAAGACATGTTTGAGTTCCCTTTACTTCTAGTCATGGCTGTGCTGTTTGCATAAAGGTGCAGGATTTTGTATTACAGGGAAACATGAGCCCACAGTAAGTAGAAATAAAAAAAAAAAATGCCCTGAAACTGCTTGGAGTTCAGAGGAATAAAATGAAAACATATTGGTCTGGATGTAGCCTAAGACATGCAGGGGTGAACAGTCGGTTGCAGTTTATTAGTAAAGACGAGAATAAATCTTAATTAACAGTGAAGAGAAGTGTGGTGATCGTTCTTCCAGGAGGATGCTGTGTGTTATTTCAGTTTAAGGAGGTGTCACAGCGGAGAGAACCGGAGGAGAGCAGCAGCATCTGGGACTGCTCTGGGTGACAGTGATGTGCAGCAGTCAGGCTGGTGGAGGAGATACCAACAGCTCGCGGTGCCACAGGGCTCAGCGCTGTCACTCAAACGCAAAATACTTAACACCTAATTCAGCGGGGGCCCCTGCAGTCAGTCAGAGCCATTAGCTCAGCTTTGTCTGACTGCAGGGGCTTCCCTCTCCACTGAACACTTATCTGTTCTCTGAAAAACTGCTCACATACGTCAGAAATAAAGGACTAAAAGAGAGTTTTGAAATATACACTTTTCACAAGTCTATAGAGCAGCATGTGTAGCTACTGTAAATTAATTCCTCGAACACAGAGATGCGTCTTATCAACTGCAACTCCAAGCAGTTTCTTGTTTGTTTGAGACGAAGCAGAAGCGAAAACGTCTGCAAAGCCCCGATGTTCAGCATCGTCGGATGTGTTGTAAGCGCTCCGCCTGGACTGGAGGTTTTAATGATGCCTCTCAGCTGCTTTGTGTCTGCCACCACTGACAAGGGGGAGACGTTTACTGTGATGCTGACCTGCTGCTCTCTGCAGAAACACCCATCTCGCCGGCCACACATTATCGCAGCTTAAGAAAACACAGACAGGCCAGATGCACATCCATCTGTATGAAATGCATCACTTTCTTTTGACGTGAGAAAATTACTACAGGAAATAAGTCAAAGGCGTTGAGGCGTATTTCTCTGTAATCCTACTCACGCATGAGAAAATTAAAGAAGACTTGTGGTGCATTCCACTTTACTTCACATGCGAGTTATCAAACTTTGCTGAGACTTTAGAGGCAGCGTTTTTCATTTAGAACAACAGATTTGATCATTTTTGTAAATAATTCTTTTAATTTCAACGAGAGATGAGTAAAAATGTCCTCTAACTATGCAAACATTTTATTGTGCTCCTGATGCAGAGGTGATGAGCACTAATATGACCGCGTGATGAAAGGTTCTGCCAGACAAGCCTAAAAAAGTTTCACAAGGTCTAGTGCAGGCGTATTAATACCCTGTTCTAAATGTCAAATAGGCTGGGACACAAAATATGTAAGTGGAACACATAGTTCCTTATATAATAAGTGTGTGTGTGTGTATAGATGAGCCTATGCATAGCACAGGGATTTTGCAATCCGTCCATATTCTCCTCCGTGTCACATTGGCTTTCACGGCAGGATGTTTTGTGTTGGAGAAGTAAGCAAGAAAACACTGGACCACATATGGAAGTGATTTGTGTACCTGATGCTGCATTCTTGCACAATGCCGTGGTGTTAACATAAAATTGAAAATGATTACTTCTGACCAGCCCAGAATACAGAAAAGCCTTCAGAGCACGTAAAGGCAAGTTTTCAAAACAATATAGCAGAGAGAAGCCTGCACGGCCGAGGTTTCTGAGGCCCCTTTTTGCTATGATTTTCTCATGTGAGACACAGGCTTTGAACAAGAGCGCTGAAGGAGTCCGTTTTTACATTTTTTATTAAGTTTCCCAGAGAGGCCCCCTGGTACCTTCGCTAAATATGGCCGGCTCCCCAGGGGACCTGGCTCCAGCTACACCGAGATACCCCTCACTAAATCTTCTCTTCTTCCTCCCACATTTGTACCCTGGTCCTAACAAAAACCACTGTTGAGCTGTTTTCATAAAGGCAACAACATTATAGGATGAGGAAACGGTGCCTTGTTTCTGTTACAAAGGAAACTTCAATTCAGAGACAAAAGAACATGACATTTCTCTGTTTAATGCACTTAGAAGTCCACAGCTTTACTTGGTTTAGTCTGACCAGAAGCTTATGTTAGCAAACTTTTTTAGATGCTTTTCATTTAAAATTCAACAATTAAAGAGCCCATATTCATTTTATCCCTCCCTTTCCTTTAACTGTGTCAGCAAATTTAGAAAATCCAATGTCCAAACTCAAGAAAATTATTCTCTCCCTCACAAAATTGTTTTCTCCTTACCTGCCTGAAACACCTCGTTTGATGTCCAGGCTTTTCTGCTGTTACTCATCTATGTCACCATGTAACACGTTTACATCACTGGAGAAACAGCAGGTTTTACAGTGGAAGAGGCACAGCTTCGAAATCAGACATGAGACGTCAAGTCAAGGAGGAGCAAGTTTGTTGTTTTAGAAGATTTTAGAGAGTTAACAGAAGCAGCGGGAGGAGCTGTATTGCTGCACAAGAAGACTGTTTCAACGGAGATTTAAATCAGGTAGTTTTGGATTTTTATAGGCACAGTCTTGTACATTTTTGATCGCACCTCATACTTCTCATGTAGCTGTGCTCTTGCATGGGCCAAAAAAATACGCACACAACTTGGACGGATTACGAAATTAATGCAAACCCTTACAGATCCTCACCTACTCATGGACACAGAATATAGAACTCTAGCTTTAATTAGACAGGTGAAGCCTTTCAGACAAATGGGCTGCAGTAATGTACAGTACAAAAAAAAAGGGGGTTTTCAACATTAAAGCATGTAAAGACATTGTATTAAAGCCCAGAAATAAAATTCTGAACCTGCAAATGTTCCGAATTAAGATTCTATTTTTCATTTATTTTTTCCTTTACAAACATTCTAGATCACATCCTTCCTCGGTGAAGCTCTGGTGCTTTAGTCTTCGGTACCACACCTTCCCTGTTGTTGGGGTTTTCGTGGTACACAGATACGCCCAGTGAGATTTGAACAGCAGCCAAGCTATCAACAGGGATGTTTAGAGAAGGGTGGGGATTCAACCCTGTGGCAGTGGAGTGTGAACAAAGCTGACGGGGCGCATTTCATGCTTTCACATAAATACGTTTTGCCTCATGAATGACAGTAAAAGCAAAAAACAAACGATTTAATACTGTATTAGTCGATGTTAAAAGAATCGAGCTGTGATTTAAATGCATACTGACTGCTTTCATAATTACGTCATACAAGAGAGACTGTTTCGAGAAGAGATATTTACTGTACCATTATGCATAGGTACATAGAGATTAGTACCTCACCACAATGACTGCACATGTCATCCAAATCAACCTCTCAACATGAGAAACCTCTCCTCCCTCCTCCGAACATCACCTCAGATATTTCCCTCGCGGAAGAAGCCTACTGAATATGGTTTAGCCCGTGAGGAAATGAACACACAGTTTTAGGAAGCAGGATTTTAAGGCTTTTGGTGATGCTGGACTCACATGAAAGGTATGTTTGATGCGCAGTGCCAGGTTCTCCGCCTTGACATTCCAGATCAGTGGTTGGGGGGAGTTGAGCACGAAGACCAGAGGCTTCTGGTGATGCAGCATGGACTGGATGGGCTTCAGATGGAGCTCAACCTGTTGAAGAGGGGGAGAAAAGAAGAAGCATTTTGAGTACCATAACAACCAAACATAAGCAGAGGAAGAGAGAAGAGGTAAATAACTATTCAGATCAGCCACAGAACAGAACATGATCCCATTCCACGCAGCGAGACCGTGCACATGTCAGCGCTTTGATTTTCCCATGTTCACTTATGTATAACTAAAAACATCAGGCGACACACGGCTCCGATCCCGGTGTAAATGCAGCTCTGTTATGTTGCGGATTGTTCTTCTTTATCAGGCTTTGTGGTTGTTTATGTACTCGCTTTGCTGATAAACTCACAAAGACGGCCTGCTGTGTTCTCCCTAAAAAGGCACTTGCTTTAGCTCTGATACGTAGCCTCAGCGGGATCTGAACTTTCACACAGTGGAGTCTTTGTTAACGGAAGGAAAAAAAATAGTAAGCGGCGGCTCTCTGTTACCATCTCTGCAGCGTGCAACTATGCCTTTGGTTCTCAGAGTGCCATTAAAATAGATTTTCACAGTCTGCTAGTGAGACGGGGGGAAAACAAACTTGCATGTTTTGGGCATGTTTCGGAGCGAATCGAGCGAGGTGGTTCGGGGCCTGAGTGTTCACTGAACCCAAACTCATCTCAGGCAAGGATCAGGCTTTCCGTTATCTTCTTTTAAATTGCACTCTGCAGCTGATAAACACCAACATCAGGGCATTTCAGCTTGCAATGTGCGTTTTTGCAGCAGTAAAGCAAGTCAACACAACACGCTACGACTGTTTTTGCTGCTTGAAAACAACAGAAAACCCTCATGGTTCTTATTTTCCATGTCAAACCTACATGAGAAATGTGTCTGACAGAGCACAATTTACTCAGTTTGCTGACATGCAGGCGCCACATGTGGACAGTAAAATGACCAAAGAACAAGAGAGAAACTCTTGGCTGCAAAAAAAGAAATGTGAGGCTGCAGGATGGATGACGTTGACCAAAAACAAGCAACTCCGTCACCAGTGTCTCACACATGTTACCATCACGAGGCGACTAGTTTGTTTGACCATTTAAACCAGCACCACAAAACTCTGTATGATGAGTGCAAAGCCAGATCTGAACACTATCGAAAGCAAAAATAAAAAACAGTTGCACCATATGAGAAATGTTTCAAACAGCTTCTTTAAATTAATCGTATTTTCTTTGTAGATCAGTCCTCTGCAAAATCATCCTGGAACGATCGGAGTAATTCAATCATCTGCTGAAAATTCCTGTATTTTTTTAAAATATAAATATATTGCAGAAAAACAATATATCACAATGTCAGTGTTCTGCAGTTTCGTGCAGACCTAACCGCTATCATCAAAGCTTCCTTGACAGCTGTTTAAAAGTCCTCAAATGTTCTCCCAAGCCTTGGTGAGAACTGACAATCTCCAGGCTTGACTGGTCTGTCGGACTCTCCTTTTCTGTATTTTCGACAAATCAAATTAGCCCCATCCTGTGCTTTAGCGGTGAAAACCTGTAAATCACTAATTTAACCCGCGAGCATTCACATTATATATACCCTCTAACTTAATCAGTCGCATCTTGCCTTTAAAAATAGAGCCTTTGTACTTCCATTTTGAGCTACTAATAGAACAAACGAGCTGCAATTATAATCCTGGAGATTGTAAAAGTGACTTGACAGGTTAATATTAGGGGCGTTTGAATGAGTTAGCACCATGAAAAGCATTCGCAGCAAATAATTTGTTTGGATGTGGTTATGGCGCGCTTATTATCGAGGCAGAGATCTGCGTCGTAAATGGAAACCATTAGCATTGTTCTGGAACATTGCATTTCTGCTCCCCTCATGTGCTCTTCATTTCAGTCACTATAAATCATACGCACAAACAACACTGCGCTCCTTTAAGCTCATTTGTAAATGGACAAAGTAAACCGTAATCAGTCTGTTATGGGCTCTGAAGCAGACTACACAAGAATAGAGCAAAACATCTGGTTTCATCCCTTCAGTGTTGCTCATATTAGAAACAGTGACATTTTCAAATCTGCTTTACCACAAACAACTAACAATACTGTGTCAAGTACTAATGGGTAAAGCAATGATGGCTTTTCTGGATACTGTCCCCAGCGAAATGAAAATATGGTCAGGAACAGTTAGTTTTCTTTATTTATGACAAAGATGTTGTGAAAGCACTTAAGTTTGTTGAGGTTGTAAAAATGTAAGCAGTAAAAATATCTTTTGTATGAGGAGGCACCTGTGGGCACTTGGAAAAATGGCGTACATGTTGATTTCAGGTTTTAAAATTATTAAGAAATAAATAATCAGTCTACTTCTGGCCATGGTTGTATTGTTTCCATCGAGGTGCAGGACTTTGTATTGCAGTGAAAAGTGATCCTACAGTGAATAAAATATGACAGCAGCAAAAAAACAAATGCCCAGAAACTGCTCGGAGTTCAGGGGATTAAAAATAAGAGCTTAGTCGGAATGAAAGAGGCACAAACTCCAGTGTCGCTGTGACGTCCCTTCTGCTTCATAAAACAGCATTCATACCGACCACTGACTGATTTCTTGTTTACTGATTCTTGATTACGACTTCACATAGACCCCCCCTCTTCAGTCAACAGCTCTGATCTGTAGCACCTGTGCCGGTTGGTATAAATGCCAGTCCAGTGGCTGCCGTATTTTACCCAGAGGAAGGCAGTTAATGAGTGCTTTCTTATTCCATTTTTTGATGTTTGTGAGCCAGCAGCTCATTAGAGTCGGTGCCCGTTTCCATCAGCGGATGAGGCTCAGGAGATTAGATAGAGTTTAACCCGGTGAACCTGCAAAATCTACAGGCACGCTATCTTAAAAATCTGCAAAATGACACCATTTATCAGAGCAAAACGCTGTTAAAACATCTGTAACATGCGGTTTAGTTGGGAAATTTGACCAAATCTAAGCTTAAAATCGTGATATTTTATGAATGCCACTTTATTCTACATGTCTAATTGAAATAAAAAATGCTAAAAAATCAACCATTTGCTCTGACCAAATTCTGTAAAAAACAAAAAATTCTGTGCTCCTTATCTCAACTGAAAAGCCATTGTTGACTAATCTGCAGTCAACAGTCATGTGAGAAAAATTCTGAGACTTTTCATCTTGACTGGATTGAACTGCAGGCTGTGCACAAAGACCACGTAAGAAAAAAGTATGAAAACAAATAAAAATGTAAGTCGTAAAGTATGAATAGCATGTTAATTCACCTGTGTGTCCAGTACTACACCTGTGGTAACTTGGAAAAATGCTGTAAATGTTGATTCCAGTTCTTTTGTTTATTTGCCTTTAGTGAAAAAAAAAAAAAGCACTCAAATAAATTTAACATTTCTTTTTTTTAGAAATGATTTTTGGCATTATGACTTTGATATACAGCACAGAAGACATTTATTTTTTTCCTACTTCTAGCCGTGGTTATGCTGATTCCATAGAGATGCAGGACTTTATAGTGCAGGAACAAAAAAAAAAAACACTCAGAAACTGCCTGGAGCTCAGAGGGTTAATGCACACACAATAATGATCATTTTAATTGCAAATACAATAACAGTTTGGTAAAATCTTTCAGCATGTTAGACTGGCACATCCAGGAAAACGTCTGGATCGTCTGATTTTTATACTCCGACAGACGATCTGTGTTCAAAGAGTTGTCACTGAGATGCTGCGTGAAGTCATTCAGCAAGAGACATGAACAGAATAAACGGAGTGAACACGAAGCATCAAAGCCCAATTATCAGTCCTCGGCAGATGTAAGCCCTGGAGCAGAGCAACACCAACCGCAGTGTTTAGTGATGTTGTCCATGAAAGTGCTGCAAAAATCATTAAAACGTCCCTCTGAGACAAGAAAATGGAAGAAATTACTAAACACTTATCTATGAGGCAATCTGCATGGTGATCCAAACAAACACATCAAAAACCAACTGATCTCTATTTTTGCATATTTAGTCCAGACGCTGGAAAAAGCGAGTGCATCGCTCCTTCGAGAATAACAACAACCAAGATATAATCATACCTGGCTTGGCTTTGAGGCCCTGGCTTTGAGAGATGGAAGAAGGAGGCAGGAGAAGAATGAGAGCGAGGGGGAGAGTTGTAAAAGATGAGGAATTTAAAAACCCAGACAGAAACATTTCCAGAAGACGTGAGTCACTTGCAAACACAGGCATAAACAGAGCTCCAAGGAGAGGAAGTGCCAAGAGGTTCTGTGGGCCAGAATGGGGAAAAAAAAATACTAGTTTTTCCAAGTGTAGCAGGTAGATAGCGATAACACCAAACTACGTGAGGTCTTGGTTGCACAATGTGAGTGATGATGAAGACTCCACAGCAGCTGCGGTTCATCTCCGCACACTGAGCTGCCATAAGGAGGTCTGGTAAATGTGGAGGGCAAAGCAACAGACCTTGTCATCCAGCCAGGGTGCGGAGCAAAGAGGTGCAGGAACACCAGGCATCAAAGTACCTCTTATGGTGCTCGCAAGGATCAGGTGGCCCCGAGTCGTCCTTGGTGCGGGCAGCTACCTTCAGAGAGCGCTGCAGGGTCTGCTGGGGACGAGAGGCCACGGCTGATTGATTATCAGGAGGCTGGCACAGGGATTTAGAGGTCCAGGGTCCATTACAGTTAAGGGGTGCGTTTACCAGCAGCCACTGATGGAGGCTTGTCCGGGCCTATCGCGTTACTGAAATCAAACCCCACACAGGGGACGACAGCTGTAGCAAGGATAAGCGAGGGCCCGTCACAGAGCATACCATTAGCGGTGGTAGCATGTGTCAACAATGGAAATGTTAGGGGGGGAAAAAAAAAATAAAAATACAACACAGCGTCAACTTTGAGCTCTAAATCAGCTCCAACAACAAACACGGCGCCAACTGCAACAAAAACCTAAAAAAGATAAATCATACTTGCTGTATAACAAAGCCACATGGTTAGATTTAGATCCCACTGGTGGTCGTGACACTATAATTGCAGCGGGGTGATTTGTTTGTCCTGTCCCGAGCATGTGGTCGCAATT